ACATATATATATATATACATATATATATATATACGAGTCTTATTTAACATATCTCGTTTGTATGATCAAGCATAGCTGCACATAGATCTATGCATATTCGTTGGATTTATCTATGAAGTGTATCAGTGGCTTTGATATCTTTTGTTTGACAATATACGAATCAGAACAGATGACTGCTCGACCAAGATGGCATTGTGACCGCCAGAATTTATGGGGTAGGCTATGTGTGACCTCTCCGTCTCTCTCTTCAACCGTAGTAATCGATCAGAACAAATTACACCCATGCTCTCTCTAGCCCTTGCTTGGTATAGTGCACACCCTACCCTACGTATGAAGTACCCTATGCATAGAAACGTTTATCCTCTGTCCCCTACGTGTGACGTAACGTATGCATAGAAACGTATATCCACTGTCCCCTACGTATGAAGTACCCTAAGCATAGAAACGTATATCCTCTGTCCCCTACGTATGAAGTACCCTATGCATAGAAACGTATATCCTCTGTCCCCTACGTATGACGTAACCTATGCATAGAAACGTATATCCTCTGTCCCCTACGTATGAAGTACCCTATGCATAGAAAGGTATATCCTCTGTCCCCTACGTATGAAGTACCCAATGCATAGAAACGTATATCCTCTTTTCCCTACGTATGAAGTACCCTATGCATAGAAATGTATAGCCTCTGTCCCCTGAAGTCATTGGGTCTGCCTCTGTCCACATACAGCATCCACAGGACTCGCTCTTTTTTGGTTGTCTGCCAATGGGGATGGCTGTACTGTGTTCCGGTTTTGTGCTGTTTGGACCGAACATCATGCCGGAGGCCGTAGCGTTCATGACAGCTCAGGTGTGTGTCTGCAACGCAATATAACCATACGTCTCGCGAGTATAGAAGGAGACTTGCGCAGGGGTTTCAGGTGTTCGAATCTCTTCACATCCGGGTGTCTGCACCTCAAGTTTGTGAATTGGACTGGATTGCACCTGTACAGGTACACCTGCCGTGTGCCTAGTAGTACTTCCACTGCTTGAACCGATTGTATACCGCCTATAGTCCATACGCCATCATGAATGAACGTTTGTAGGCTTTCATTTGCCTACCACCTTTTGACGTCGTTCTCATACCCCACACTCTCTCGGTGTTATTTTGTTAGTGTTTAATATTGATGTTGTGGACCAATTGACTCGGTGGCACCGACGTTGAAATCTACCAAATACGTATAGTACAGCGGTGTCGCATCAGGCCACAGATACACAGTATTTTCTATTCCTATTGACCGGTCTATGACCTCCTGCATATGCTATTAAGGGTGTCTACCTTTGCCAGCCGTAGTCCCGGCGCTCGTCTCTTTCCCTCACTAACCTTACCCCTCCAACGCGTTTTGCTACTGTGCGTGTATGGTGGTACGTATTCTCAGGTGTTGTTCTGGATCACCGTGGCCGGGTGCGTGATGTCTATGACGCTGCTTCCGTACCTGATGATGGTCACCCACATACACCAACACCACACTATGACCTCTCTGTGGCTGCTGCCATTGGTAACCTGTGTGGTGCAATCCGCGACCGCTGGTGTGGTATGTGAGAGTGTAGGTATATGTGTGTATGTGCGCTTGTGAGAGTGTTTGTATATGTGCGTATGTGCGCGTGCGCGTTGTTGATGTGCACGTGATTGGAAAACAGGTCTGCAGACACACTTCCGTGCGTTAGAACCTTCCAAGGGAGGATGACGATATAAAGATGTCGTAGTTGACAACGTGGGGGGGGCGGCCGAAGAACTTGTATTTATATACAACCCGACAGTCTATACGTACGATTGTATGTGTGTGTATAGGTATGTGTGTTAGTTATAATGTACACCTGGGTGTTTGTCTATCCGCATCCTCATCTCCCTGCCATATACATCTACATAAACCATCGTCCAATCAGTCTGCTCACTCGTATGCCTCCACTGCACCACCCACCCAACCCTAGCCATTGACCCAATCGTACCCATTGACCCAACCCTACCCACTTACCCAACCCTACCCATTGCCACACCGCAGGTAGGCCCAGCACAGTACTCACCAGCGCATCAGCAGAACATTCTCATCGCAGGGTACATACTGTGGGGTGCAGGCATCCTAGCCGCAGCCCCAGTCATTGCAGCGTTCCTGTCGCGTCTGATTGTGCACGGACTGCCCTCGGGCTATCTGGGTAATTCTGTGTGGGTGGTGTTGGGGCCCATAGGCCAGGGCAGCAATGCGATCATCATGCTTGGTCGCAATACGCTTGCGCTGCAGTGTGCGGGTTACTTCTGTGCATTGGGCGAGGGCTCGGCCGACCCGCTCACGTGCGCATGCAGTGGTGAGAGAATAAGCACTATTTCGTCATGGGGAGTGAATGCTCCCGGGATGACGCTTATGGTGGGGGTGGTCATGTGGGGTACGGGGTGTTGGTGGCTATTTATAGCCTGTGTGACCAGTATAAGTTCGACATACAAGGGCAATCGCTTGGCCCGGTTTCTGATGTTATCGGACAGGCGCAGGGGGCGAAAGAGCCGGAGGGGTGTAATGCAGGACAGCACACACTCACACACATCACAAGGCACACACGCGCTCACACACGCCCACAGCGATACAGACTTACAAACACAAACACAAACACAAGCACAGACACTGGGGCATTTCCGGTCTTTCCCCTACACGCACGAGGTGCAGGAAAGTGGACTGAGCAGCGCCCATGCCCAGGACCCGCACAGCAGGCCAGAGGTCAGAATGGGATTCACTCTGGGGTGGTGGGGTTCGGTATTCCCTCTCATCACGCTGGTACTGAGTACGTATCAGATCGAAATAGACACAGGCTTTGTGTTCTTCCTGTGGTTTGGCCGTGCCTTGGCGTGTGCGCTGATAGGCCTCTCGTGCTATGTGCATGCCAAGACTGTGGTTGCGGTGTTGCGCCGGTCGTTCTGGACTAGCTTTCACTGAGCGATGGCTTGCGTTTCTAGTGGTTGCTATTAATAGAATTCGGTGGCAGAGCTGCGTTGCTATTGGTTGCTATTATTAGAATTCGGTGGCCTGCGAGACGGTATGTCAGGCGAGGGACTGATCAGTTTGCCGGGGTGATGCAGCGGGTCATATCGCACACACATACTATACAAGTTAGTATGCACCAGGTTTAGGGTTTACACACGAGCACGGGTGGATTCATGTCCCGTGACATGCACACATAGGTTGTCTCGTGGGGTGGGCGTAGATTCAAGGTTTACATTGATAGGGTCGTTAAATAGCACACAGGGTGTGTGTCAGCGCAAGGATCGATCGCTACTCTTTTTCGGTCACCAAACACTGGCTACTCGATTACTTAAGAAGACTTCATTCATGTGTGCACATCTTCATGTGTGTACATATCCATGTGGGTACATATTGTAGAAAAGCTCCTTGTGTGTGCGTCTTGAAGACCAGGCTGCTCAACATAAGACTTGCAGCTGTGCCTGGTGGATTGTGCGAGGCCTCGGACGATAGCCCCACACGCCAACCTCACGAAGCAGCGGTCATGCCCTAAAACCTAAACCCTAAAACCATGTACCCGGTTCAATCGAAGATGCCCTAAACCCTAGGCCCTAAACCCATGAACTCGGTGAACCTGAAAGACAGACTACTCTTAGAGTATTGCAATGGCGCTTGGTTTCCTGTGGTAACATCAGTAGGAAAGGGAGCGCTCGGTTTCCTGTGGTAACATCAGTAGGAAAGGGAGGCACACTTGCGAGAGAAGTAGTGTCACTGCTGAAGTAGAAGGTGTTGGGGCTATAGTTGTGACCAACGGCAGTACCATCACACATATATATATATATCGATGGAAGGTAGTATCACTGCCGAAGTAGAAGGTGTTGGGGCCATAGTGGTAACCACCAATAGCACTTGGTGGTTAAAACACACACCGTTGTATTGATATAGTACCGTGTCTGTGTGGGCGTGAGTCTGGCAAACGTAACAGCGTACACCGCTCTATACGCCACACCAACGCCATTGGGCTTCATTGGCTACAACTATCACCACTGGATGGTCGAAGACGCATACGTACTAAATAGGCGGGATTATAGGTAGAAATATGCTTGTGATGGAGTTCAGTCGGAAATATAGGTAGATGTTTGCTTGTAACGGTATCGTAATGGCCCTGTCCTCGCCTTACGCTTATTTGCCGTCGCACGTGCTGCGTGTAGTATGGGTGTGCGACGGGGACAGTTGTAGCAGAAAGAGCCGCAGAGCCACAAGTACCACACCTGGGGAACTATATAAGTATGGCCTGGATCGCTTGGACTGTAACTTAAAGCCCGCTATATCATACACAAACTGATAATAAAAAGGTCTAGGTAAAGTAAACGATGGATATATACATTTATATATATATATATATATATATATATATATATGTGTGTGTGTGTGTTGGTGTGTATTGATGTGTATGTATGTTTGTATGCATGCATGTATGTATGTATGTATGTATGTATGTATGTATGTATGTATGTATGTATATATATATATTTATTAATATATATATATAAATGTATATATATATATATATATATATATGTATTATATATATATTATATATATATTTATATATATA